TTTACACTTTCCGCACACGATATCAAATTGTATAGCCTGTGCCTGTGCGTGGATGCGGGCACAGGCACCGGCACTAGGAACAAAATGAGGACGACAGGGCTCCCATTCCATGTCCGTCGAAAGTCTCGGGATTCGGAACTTTTTTGCTACGATTTGTCCCACTCAATGGCCGCCAAAAGTTCCGGGATTCTGTTCAAATTGCTTCAAAAGTTTCGAGAAAGTTCCGGAAAATGCGAAATATCCGGAACATTTTGGGAATCTTCAAAGGCCCGAGGAAATGCAAGGAAAATCTCAAAAGTTCCAAAATTCTATACTTGCTCCGGAAAATGGGAGTATTGTAGGACGATTTGAACGTGATTTCGTACCGGACGTTTCTGTCTGTAAATACAACGCAAGTCGACGTGATTGGCTCATGTCAATTATTGTCAGTGCCCAGTGATTGTAATTTTAGTACATAGAGATAAAAAAGGAGGTGTTTGTGCATTTCGGGCATCTTGGGATTTTTTTGACCTTCATCATCGATTTTCTTGGAAATGGTGTAATTTATGGAAAAAAGTCATTCTATAAAAAGTGCTTGAAATTATATTCTAAGTTGATATTAGCAAAAAAATAGTACATTATGGTCCGTTTTTTATACTTCGAATTCCGGATTTCGCTGGCCAGGTTGTACCGACCTATGTCAGGGAATAAACCAACCTCAAGATGCAAACACCTCCTTTTTCTTTCCTCCATGATTTTAGTAATGCAACGCAACTGACAGCAATCACGCGAAAAACCCTTCATGGCCCACCGAGCGACGCTTGCTCAAAAAGCGGGGGGAAGAAAGCGATTCCGAAGGGCACGACGCGAAGGCACCGAGCGAGGGGCTTCAATAAATGTAATCAAACGTGTATTAAGATTATTGAATGAGAGCCGAACGCCGAACATCAATGTCAACAACGATTATTATTAGCGAAGCATCTCGATCACATCCCCGGTGCCTCTCCGCCGAGCCCGCGGTGCTTTCCGCGAGTGGCGCTTTCGCTCCTGTTTACGTCAAACAACGCAGCGATGTCGCACCGGCTGCCTACCCTGAAGGGGCCGCGCCAAGCGCACGCTGAACCAACTACGGCCGGTTTACGCTCTGGACTTTTTCGGCTCAGTTTGGATGCGTCATTCTGCAGCCGGCAGATCATTGAAATTTATAGATAAAACGATAGGCATAGAAAACGAAGGGAGAATTAAGCGATCCGATTCGTGAAGGAGAGTCGTTGCTTTGGCCAAAGGAAGTAAGTAATAGACTAAGGGGCAACACACGAGAGACCCTATTGTTAGTCCATTCTTTCCTTTCTAGGTCTCTGAAGAAACGCCCCTGTGAACCAATAGGATCGCTCCATTTTTCTTCTGTTTTCTCTGTCTATTGCTTCTAGTAATCAATCCGTAGTACGTTTGGCCCGGATGCGAGTAGGTACTCCCCACTGGTATCTCCTTTATATTGGAAACTTCGATTGGATGACCAAACCTTTGTCAATGGGAAAAAGAAATGAAATATAATTGTAGTATCATTTAAGATTGGAATTTTTTTTTTAATTTCCTCTATCAATCTCTCGCAATCCCAGGATTTGTTAAAGTTGGAGACTTCCAGTAAGAAGCCCGAAGAATTATACACCGTTTGTTCTTTGGTTATGAGGACCTGCGCTCTGCCTTTGCTTTTGGGAAAGGCTGATGCAACATTGCGCTTTCTAGCTCGAAAATCAGTTAGACATACCGTCTTTTATGGGCACACAGGCCGAATCCAGTTAGAAGCCCGAAGAATTATACACTGTCTGTTCTTTGATTCGTGAGGACCTGCGCTCTGCCTTTGCTTTTGGCAAAGGCTGACGCAACACTGCGCTTTTTACCTCGAAAATCACTTAGACATACCATTTTTTCTGGGCACACAGGCCGAAAGTTTCGGGCACTGGAGCCGTAGCTTCGATTGCTCCGGATGCTACGCCCGAAACTTTCGGCCTGTGAGCCCGGACCGCGGACAATATGTTCATATAGCCCGTAGGCATAGCTTCCATGGCTGTAGTTTTCTTCAGTGTATACCTCGAAAAAGTTGTACAAATTGCGATCACCTGGAGGGGTTATCAAGGTTCCTTCAATTTGCGAGCGGTGCTGGATTCGATCCAAGCGCATCCCGGAATCGAGCGAGATCCGCCCGGCCCTAAATCCCCCGGAACGACCCAGAGTGGGTCACGGGGGAAGCATAAATCCCGGGCGCAGCGTTTTAAAAGCGCCGAATAAATTTCTCCGCCGGGCGCGGGCGTGGCGCTCCGGGTTCAGCGCTGTCAGCGACTCTCGAAAAAAGGTCGCGGAAGGCGCGGAATTATAAGCAGCCGAGCTCTAAAAACTAATCTTCGTTATTCAAGGGGCGCGCCGCGGGTATTGTCCGGTCAGCGTCAGTGTCCAGCGCCCCCTCCCCTCCCCCCCGGCCGGCCCCGGAGGGGTGGCGGCGGAGGCGCTCATCGTCTCGCGAAGAGGGAGCTCATCGAGACGGCGAGATTTTGACGCAATCTTGATTTACACTGTTACACGGAATCGCGCCCGGCGATAAATCACGAGCACGCCGGACCAAGCATAATACTCGGCTGACTAGAATCAACTCGACTGAGAGACCGACCCTCCCTGCACCCACCCCACCCATGCCGACGGCGCACATCGGTCCCCGAATGAGGCTATGTCTAAATGCTGTGGGGCACACACATAGACTTAGCTCAGATTTGTTAGAGGGGTGACGAGGAGAACTTTTGCTTACCGATTTTTCTAAAAAGTGTTGTTGATTCTACACTACAGCTCACTTCTGTTGTTGACTTTATCGGCCATACTTCAAATTTTGAAATTTTGTAAAACTTTTTCTGACCAATTTTTCTACAAATTGTTGTTGATTCTACACTACAGCTGTTTCGAGCTAACGCTCATCGTCAGGTGATTTAAATAATGTATAAAAACTTAAATTACGATGCGTTTTCTCGATCGCAAGTGGTTCGATATCCGCGTTCGCGTTCGTGACGTGACTGATAACCCTGGCATTCGTTGTTATGTCTTTCTTCCTCACCTCATTGTTATCCCCAAAGTCATAATTGGACTTTTGATGATGTCTTAATTCAGCGATTCAATGGACGACGTGGACGTCTAGAACACGGTCGGGGATGGAGGAAGCACCGTGGGGCTCCCCAATTCACGCGGAATTTCACGAGACCGTGGATCCGGCAGAAAGCACAGTGGGCAAGTTACAAGGGGGACCCCGGACTTTTGGATAACCCTGTGCGTTTCTCTTACGTGAATACGAGTCGGCCACGATCCCGGCAACACGGCAAGGCCCTCAAGGTCCCCGGCACAAAGCCCTGTTTACCGCGAATCAAGGCCCGCGATGTAATGATGCCTCGCTGAAACCGCTCGGAAGGTGCGTCGGGCACGGAGTCGGTTTCCTCTCGCACTCGTCCGCCCGATTGAAAGGTTGCCGAGATAAGACCGACAGAAAGCCCCGCAGGTAACTCGGGGTCGGATCTCTCAAAAAGGAGCATTAATAATTTCTTTTGAAAAACTAATTACCCTCTCCCCGGCCATCAACGGAATTAATGAAGTTGTAATTGGAGACGTATTATTTACAGTAAATTAAAAGCATTAAGTTCCCGACGGCGCCCCGGTCCCGGTTCCTCTCAGACGGGCTATTTTCCTCCTTGTTTGCGTCCTAATTAGCTCAAGTTTGATGCATTCAATCGGGAACGCGCTCCTCGCCCAGGGAACCGGTTCCCGCCGTCAATGAGACCTCGGGAAACTTCGCTGGGCTCTCCTTGTAGACAATGCCGCAGCACTTGTTATTTGAGCTCCGAGCTCTCCTCGAGCAGTGCGCCCATTTCCCGGAACTCTTCAGGTTTTCCCAAGATTTTCCGGATCTTCTGCATTTTCCGAAATTGTCTCGGAACTTGTGGTGAAATGTAAATGGAATCTCGGAACTTTTAAGGGTCACGGAGTGGGTGTTTTCCCGAAATTTTCCGGAACTTTTAAAATTCCCAAGACTTTTGGGATCTTTTGCATTCTCCGAAATTGTCCTGGAACTTGTGGTGAAATGTAAATGGAATCCCGGAACTTTTAAGGGTCACGGAGTGGGGGTTTTCCTGAAATTTTCCGGAACTTGTGGTAAAATGAAAATGGAATCCCGGAGCTTTTAAGGGTCACGGAGTGGGAGTTTTCCTGAAATTTTCCGGAACTTGTGGTAAAATGTAAATGGAATTCCGGAACTTTTAAGGGTCACGGAGTGGGTGTTTTCCTGAAACTTTCCGGAACTTCTGAAATTCCCAAGATTTTTGGGATCTTTTGCATTCTCCGAAATTGTCTCGGAACTTGTGGTCAAATGTAAATGGAATCCCAGAACTTGTGACGGTCACGGAGTGGGAGAAATTGGAAGAAATATGTTCCGAATCCTTAGCGCCTATAATGCGAGCTTCATTCGTGGTCCGAAGAGCGTAGAGGTTCAGTTACATGATCAAATTGAGCCATCAAACTGAAGCTCTGATTGGTGGAAAAAGACCTGAGGTGAGGATGCGACCAATGAGAGGCCCAATTCGATGGCTCAATTTGATCGTGTAACTGGACCTTATGAATTAAGCGAATTATCCAAGAAAACACTTTTAAACGCGGCCGGAGACCTCGGTGCAGATATGGCAGGGTGTTATTATCTCCTTTCCCCCCTTTAATTAGTCGAATGACATATCCACATCCACCAGGTTAGTTTACATTCAGAGTTCAAGCCAGAAAAATTAATTTTTTGGACAGGTAGTAACTTAAACTGACTCTCGTTTTTGCAAATGCTTGAGCACTTGTTACTTGACCTGCAAGTTCTGCTCTTTTAATGAACATCACTGTGCGGTGAATTAAACACCTTGTTAGCGTAACGATTCTAAAGCTGCCATTGATACAATTTTGAATGAGTTCAATTTACGAAGAAAACTATAGTCGCAAAGAAGTAAACTCACCTTTTCAGGAAACCAGGGTGTGACGAAAGGCATTTCAAAAGTGTTGCTGTAGGAGTGCAACGTGTCGAACGAGTCAGAGCTGACCGCCCCCAGCATGGCAAACACTCCTCTTGAGAACTGATTGCAAACTGTGAACATAGAAAACAAACATAAACTTAGATTTTCTCTTGATAGTGCAGTCACGGACATGTCACGTCTGGAATCTATACACCGTCTGATCTTCCTCTGCACCCTCCCTTGATGTTCTTACGATCAGAAATGGTTTTCCTTGGATCTTAGGAGATCCAGAAATTAGCTCCAATCTAGTTTGCAGCCATGGACTGGACATGTCACATCTGGAATTTACTGTCTGATCTTTCTCTGGCATCCTTCATTGATGTACTCATGACCAGAAACGGTTTTCCTTGGATCTTAGGAGATCCAGAAATTAGCTCCAATCTAGTTTGCAGCCATGGACTGGACATGTCACATCTGGAATTTACTGTCTGATCTTTCTCTGCATCCTTCATTGATGTACTCATGACCAGAAACGGTTTTCCTTGGATCTTAGAAGATCCAGAAATCAGCTCCAGTCTAGTTTGTTTCAGCGCGGGAAGAGTTATACCTCAGAGCTTAAATTATAGCGATGATCGCCTCCGCACACTAAGTTAAACTGGGTTTTTCGGAGACCTTTTAAAAGGAAATTGAACCTCGGTTATTGAAGGTTCAATGTCCTGCTTCTGTAAGGTCACCAAAAAACCTAGTTTAACTTACGATTAGCGTGCGGAAAGCCACCATCGCGATAATTTAAGCCCAGAGGTATAACTCTAGCAGCAGCGAGGCGTGAATTGCGATGTATCGATTGTTATGCCATTTAAACCTATGGTGAAGAATCGATTGTAAAGGTGTTCGTCTCGATCACCCGGTTCTTCGATCATTTTCCGTAGGTTTCATCGGATCAATCGATATATCGCAAAGCACGCCACGCCACTGGATTCTAGAGTCAGGCCAGTGATGGTCAAGCGGAAGATGATCTTCAAAGTGCCGTGTTCGAGTGCACCGCCCTTTGATGCAACGTTCGGACCTTTCACGCGCGAAAGACGCAGTAAGGACATTAGTTGGACGGAAGAGAGCCCATTGCGCTCATCGGCGCATGGTGGCAGAAAACCCGGGCGAAAAATTCCACTTGGCTTCCTGAGACCGAGTCCTGCCCTGTTCAGCGCTCCTCTAGATTGGGTGGCGATCCAGCTGTCTGGATGTCCACGCGCCTAGTCGAGTTTCAAACCCATCGTTGAGTACGCATCGAAGTCTCTTATCCACAATCCATTTCATAATGCCAAGATTGAGATCGTATCAAGCCGTAGTCGCCGCGAATAATGGACAAGCCGATCCGGGACCCACGCCGCCGCGTGAGAAAGCTCGGGAAACTTGCAATATCCGCAAAAGTTGCGCCGTTGGCGTCCAGATTAGGCCTCTCGCCACACCTGGTTCAAGATCAACTCGTCACCTTCTGACGAAAGTATCACAAGTGCCTTGTGGAATTTTAAAATTTCCGCCGCCCTTATTATTTTTTTTTACAGAGAAATTGTTGGTTGTATCTGTTGGAAAATTTCACTGAATTCTATCGGCAGCTTAAGATAAATCAGTGAAATCTGCGGACAGCTTCCTTGAAACATTTCTTTATATTCATAATAAAACTTAAAATTAAAATAATAAGTTTAAAACAAACCACGATGCTATTCGATTTGTTTTAAACTTATTATTTTAATTTTAAGTTTCATCATTTTTTTTTTGTACCACTCTCTCCGCCACCCGACTTACGAGGTAGAACACGCCGTGATCGAAGATTTTTGACGTATGTCGATAGAAAATCGAAGTTTTTATTGGATTGAAACGTTCTATGTAATTGAATAAACTAAACACTCTAAAACTCACCAAATTTCGTTGCCAAGCTGAATTTTCAAAGTATCAGTCGAATATGTATCTTCCCCAGTGCATGCAGCTATATGTACTTATACATCAAACACGTGACAGGAACGTAAACAATAAATAAAAGTAATAATAATAATAATAATAATAATAATAATAATAATATACTTATTATATACTGAAGGAGAAGATCGAGAGCGATAAGTGTAGGAAGTGTAATGCTGCATCCGAGACAATAAATCACATTACATCTGGTTGCGCATTGCTTGCAGGGAAGGAATATACCGAGCGGCATAACAACATGGCTAAAATTATACATCTAGCGCTGGCCAACGATCGAGAACTATGTGATACTGCTGAACCCTACTACAAATATTGCCCAGCCACGGTCCTGGAGAATCAGCGCTTCCGGCTCTATTGGGATAACCCGATCCTAACCGATAAAACCATCATGGCAAACAGACCGGACATAGTGCTTGTTGATAAGCGAGATCGCACCGCGTACATCATTGATGTTAGCATCCCTAATAATCATAACTTGGAGCTGAAGTATCAGGAAAAGATGGTAAAATATCTGCCCTTAGCTGCAGAAATGAAGCGATTATGGAACCTGAATATTGTTTGTATCAAGCCCCTGATAATGTCAGTAACGGGGATAGTTCCAAAAAGTTTAGTTCAACATCTTCGAGACCTCGGAATAAACAGTTACCTGCTTCATTCAATGCAGAAGTCCGTCGT